TGTGCTCGTGTTTGGCGACAACGGATATAATCCGTCGTATCGGTTCATCGCATCGGAAACAAAAAAGCGAAAGAATTTGGAACGATGTGTTTACATTGTTTCATTCATTTGTATACAGTCAGTATCAGTGAATAGTGATATCTGTTGCGTGGCTCAAACGAAATAAAAAATGGCACATGTTTATGCGGATCGGTTTCCCAATCGAGTGCAACCAACCCCTCGTGCCTTTGTTAATGTAGTACAACGGGCTCGTGAATCAGGTGACTTAAGACCTCACAGGGGACCTCACGATCAAATACAGGTCCGCACTGAAATACTTGTCGGGAGGATACTTTATAAAACAAGGTAACATTTTTTTTTTATTTTTTTTTTATTTTTACACACATATTTTGGTTTATCTTCCTTCTACAATCATTATCTGAAAATTAATGACTCAACTTCAAAGTCACCCTATAAATATATATATATAAATACCTATAATGTAAGTCTTTATATACCTTTTTATATACCTACCTGCTATGTCAATATTTGCCTGTTGTCAAACGTTGGAATTCTGTAATTTTTCCATTTCTTAACTTTCAGTCAACATAAATTAAACTCCCAATATAAGTATTTTTTATCCCAAATCAAAAAAATAAGAAGATAGTAAAATCCATTTATTGTGATATAAAAACATTATTATTATCGTTCTAAATAAATAACCGCACGCCTATGATACGTCATGAAATTACAAAGGACGCGACGACCAAAGGTTTTTATGCTATTTCAAGTGACTTCAGATAAACCATACCTAATCCATCATGATCCGCTTGTCTACTAGATGTGATGCTTAGATCTTGCCAATATTTGAAAACTGTGTGACCTTCATTCAACCTTGTCTCATCTAAATAATATACGTACATCTTCTGTCTTCCCATTACGCGAATACTACGTATTGTTTTCAAGTATTCCTTGCGCCATGTTATTACGTCATCACTTTTGATCAATGCGCTATTCCTCTTCTCCTTTGAATATCTGATATTAATTTCTCGTAACGCTCTTAGTAAAATACGCTGGGATATTTTTGGTAGACTATCGTCAGTATTCAAAGCGTGCTGTAGTTTTTTTATTATCGGTATTTCTCTTCTCAAATAAAACTAGTGCGCCTTCCGACGTACTGTGTATACAACATCGTCATTTAAAACCACTCGTTTACGCCTCTGCTTTTGCTTTTTTGCTACCGTCGAACACACATAACGTTCTTTCCCTCATAATTCTGAAACTGATACCTTTGCCATATCGCTACAAAGCTGAACGGTATTTTCTTAATGGTTGCTCTGGAAATCATGTTCAAAGCGCGTCATAAACATTTTTCACTATATTTCTTTGTCCAGAGCATAAATTTTGCCGTTTATGGGTTAGACTATCCGTTGAGTGGTAATCCATCTTTCGTAATCCGTGAATTTTCAACAGTTCCCAACTCACCTCCTTTCCGTTTTCGGCGCCGCAGCTGACTGAAGAGGACGGGTGGAAAACGGTGCAGGTGTGCTTCGTTTGTACGTCGGCAAAATGTGTGACGATGTTGCCGCGTCTTGATATGACACTTACATTTTAAGATTCGTACTATTGTTTGCCATTCGCCATCCAGCGATAGTAAACCATTAAGCGATAATATTAGTTATTAAATCACACTGTTGCTGTTATTGTGCGTATCTAACGATAGTACAGCGCTAAAGCCTCACTTGAAAAATATGTCAAAAGTCATAAAGCAGCTTTAACACTGTACTGTCGTTAGACGCACACATTACTATTATTTCATTATCAAAACTCAAACTGATATCTGGCAACTGGCTATTTTGAAACTACACGCACAAATCATAATTATTTTTTTTAAGTCTTTGAAATATTTGCGGAATACTCAAAATGTGTCAGTTAATTTTGAAACTTGTAGACGATTGCTATGTTAGGTATTTCTGTAATCCTCGCACACATGCCTATCAACTTATACCAACGAAAGTCGTTTACCAAAACTTTTATGTACCACCTAACTTTTTGCACTTTATATGTATGAATGTTTTGTATCTAATCATGGAGTAAATTAGATCACCTCTGCATTTTAAACTGTACCTATGCTTTTGATCACATTAGGTTTAGTATTTTTCTATATACCACATGACTTCAAATTCAAATTGGTCTAGGAGTGCCTCTAAAACCAAAATGCACTTGGCAACGTTGTATTTATAAGAGCGGAATTTGTGCTTTGAAGGAGTCAGTGTTGTCGGGTTGTGTACGGTATGCTGGATTTGTGTCTTTTATATAATGGAAAATCTCTATTAAATTAAAGATTTAATTTGTGTTTTCAACGTTGAATGGAGTTTTGAAAATGCATAACAACAACATGCATTTTAATAAATATACTTATACAGGGTGTCCGCAGAAACAACTACCCTTGAAATAACAAAGGTAATGTGTAGTGAAACGAGGGCGACCAAGTAAAAAAAATAAAGGAAAAAGTACTCACTCTCCAGCTGACGAGAAGGGCTAAGTACGTCTCTGCCCGAAATCATACCGCTCCAACAGAAAATGAAATCAGCTGATGCACTACCGAGCAGACGCAGGCGGTGGTGCAGACCACGAACAGAGGTAACAAATATGACGGCGTTGCCGCGTTTTCAGTTTTTAGGTAAACGTACTTTATAGGTATTGTTCGAAGTTATCGCCGTTTGATTCAAAAACACAGGTGCATGCACGACGTAGCCAAGCATCGGTGCAGGCTTTGAGAATGGAGTCCCTCCCCCGAATGAAAGCACCAACTTGTTCAATTCTGAGACGAAGTTCGTCAACCGTATGCACTTCAGTTTTGTACACTAAGCGTTTCATTTCTCCCCAAAGAAAAAAATCACATGGTGTTAAGTCTGGAGATCGTGGAGGCCACGCTACGGGTCCATTACGTCCGATCCACCTATTCGGAAATAATTCATTCAAAAGCTCACGCACTTCGCGTCTAAAATGGGGCGGTGCACCATCGTGCAGAAACCACATTGATTGTCTTACACTTAATGGCACATCTTCTAACAAGGAAGGCAAAATGTTGCATAAAAAGTCTAGGTATTGCATCCCGTCCAATCGATTTGGGAGAATAAATGGTCCAATGAGCAAAGCGTTCACCATGCCAGCCCAAACACTCACCGAAAATGTTTGTTGAAAATGTGCCCGACGGACAGCGTGCGGATTTTCTACTGACCAAACATGAGTGTTGCGAAAGTTATTCACCCCATTACGCGTGAACGTAGATTCGTCTGTCGCCAATATGCACTTCAAAAAGTCCGGATTATTGTCATGTTGATGCAACAACCACTCACAAAACCGCACTCTTGCTGGAAAATCGTCAGGTTGAAGGGCTTGTACACGTTGGACGTGAAACAGATACAGCCCCTCTTCACGCAGCGTTTGCCACACTTTAGTTTTTGATACTTGCACTTCTCTAGCCACGTCTCTAGTGCTTGTTGAGGGATTCTCGTCTACGCGATTCAGTAGTTCTTCCTCAACTTGCACCATTCGTGGTTGTATAGGCCTCCCACTGTGCCCACCTCGAAATTCCTCCAAATGGCCCGTATCCCGAGACTCTCTGGACCAGGTACACAAATCTGCGGGGCCTTGGATGATGTCGTCTAGGGAAACGATCTGCATACACTCGCGAAGCCTCTGTAGCATTTTGAAGACATTCGCCATAAATTAACAACATATCAACGAGTTCATTATTGGTGTATGAGTGTGCCATTTTTATTTTTTTTTGAAACGCAATCGATTATACGGGTTCGTTTACCTCTACACGCGTGACCGTAACCGTCGCTTGAAGGTTGCATACTGACCCCGACCCAGTTCTGTCGTCGGGTTGAGCCAATGACCTTGTACCACTCGGTGATGTCGCGGGTCGCGGCTACAGGACGGTATTCAGATATTTTTGATGTTGCAGAGCCCTTTATCTCGGTTCCCTTAAGACATTGGTGTATATGGTACTAAGAAAAATTGCTTATGTTTTCAAGATCTACACGTCGTGTAAACGAAAGCCCCAACTTTGCGGACACCCTGTATATTACTCAAACGGTCATACCCAGCTTATGCATATGACTCGTGACAATAAAGCCTTGCTGTCATAAGTTTCGGTGAAGAACTATAGCACAGAGAACACCAATATAACTCGAGCTGTCGACGCGTTCGCCTCAGCCAGAAACGGCAAGAGACACAGCCGTACAGGGTCGGACAGTGTTTTCAGCGCTGTTAGCGCTATTGACCTGTGCTTAATTACATTAGGAATCAAACATGTTTTGTATGTGGATGACAGTTTTGAGTCCGATCAACTTCAGTGGAAAAGCTATGAGGTATGAGGCCCTCTATTCCTATAGCTTACATGTTACTGTTTGGATTCTAATACAATTTTGACATAAAAGTACTGATATTACAGAACGCCATAGGTGCTTTCACCAATGGTGGTAATACTAGTCGTCATTGTTCGTCAGAGTGGTCCGGTAGATCTTTGCTGTTAGTTAAAAGTCTCGTCGGTCTGTTAGACTGTCAGGTCTGGCTACACAGATACCAAACGTGTGCAAGATGTAAAGGGAAAGATGGAAGGAAGAAACAGAGCAAAAAAAAGAAGTAAATCATTAGAAGAAGAGCATTATTGGTTTGACTTTTTAGTTTTATGTCGCCGTCTCGCAAACTTTGTCGTTACGTACGAGTGTCCTTCAATCACATTTGTCAGAGTGACAACTTACTTGACATCGGCGTGCAATCTGAGTTGTCCTGTTATCAATCTTCAATATAAAATTGTACAATCCCTGGAAATACGATCAATGGAGATAGCCGACAGCTCGTGATAAATTAATTAGAGTATTTCCAGGAAGAGAATGAAAAAATATGGCCCCCATGGCCCATGGTACGGAGGCTCGATCTGTTTACTTATATCATACGGCATTGATGACCGCCAAGAACGGTGACTACAACTATACTGAGAAATAGTCAAGAGAGTATGATTTGTGTACCAATAAATCTGCGGATGCCACTACAAAAATATATGAAGTTTCGCGTTTCGTGAGCCAGCTTAATGAGATCATGTCATTTACCACTCAGTGTCAGATTCATATGGATGTCAAATCACAATGAACAAAATTTCGGCGCAAATATGTTGAAAATATGGCCCAAGTATGGTTAAATACCTACCGCAGATACTTTACAATGGCATTAAGATCTTCATCAGGTCGCTTAATAAAAGCATCCAGGAAGAAATACAGTTGAGTCAGGAAGCTGCCAAAATCAGGTACCTTTTGCATTTAATACTCTTTTTTGATTTTATATTAAATGGAGATAAGTTTCTGTCATAATAAAAGAATTAATATTTGAATCGAGAAAAATAACTTTTTTGGCAGAAAAAAACGCTCCAATAGCTATTTCAACAACAAAATGATAAACAAACCATGGGCGTCGTGAAGAAAAGAATTTACTTATTAAGTAAATTCTTTTAGTCAAATTCCTTCTGAAAGTAGTACAAACTCAACTGATGTACCTATTAAAGTCTACTTTAAGCTTAAATCAATTAATCTTCAAAACTACTGAACTGAAGCTCATGTATTTTACATCATTATAAAGGGAATTGAAAGACCTTAAAAATAAAGTATCACTCGACCCCCCTTTCCATTTAAGATTTTAGGGTTGGTGTCACTCCCGCCCAGGGGACTGCACGTGTTAACGTGATTTTTTGCCAAACTTGTGTCCCCCTCGAAAACAAAATCTACGGGTCTGAGCGTTTTTCCAAAAAAAAAAATTGAGCTGCCAGTAAATGCGTCTGTTTTGTTTGCACATAAGTATACTAAGTGACATATAAATCCGAACACCCAGTTCAAATGGTTTTATTTTAGTAAAAGTTGGTGAATGTATTTATCTTACTGTAAATAACAAGTGAAAAAATTTTCAGCCTTATCAGTTGGACATTCTGGTTTTTATACTGCTTTTTTTTAATTCACTAACGCTCTAAAAATGAATATTTCAGCCGCAGTAAAGAATCAACGTTGGCGGATTTTGGTTCTTGACATCCTTTACGATCGGTTACGATGCCTAGAGTACGGAGACCTGTACGATTTCGTCAACTTAGTAAGTTTGAGAGGCTGGACTTTCTTTTCGGGCAATTGCAGTTAGAGTGCAAAGAAGTGTAGACACTGTGGTTAGGTGTTGTCAGGCATGGCTTCGAGAAGGCCGTACGCAAAGAGCAAGGGGCACTGGACGCCGCCGTAGAACAACAGACCGTGAAGATCGCCGCCTAAGATTATTGGCCTTAAGGGACCGTTTCTCCACTACCAGGTCCATTGCAAATGAATGGTTTGCAGAACACGGAAGACCTATTGGCATGCGAAGTGTTTACCGACGAATGAGAAGTTTTGGCTTGTTTTCATACCGGCCACACTGGGTCCTCCCTTTAACTCGAGAACACCGACGTAATCGCCTTGAGTGGTGCAGACAACGGTCACTCTGGGATCAGGAATGGAACAGTATTGTCTTTAGTGACGAGTCTCGATTTTGTTTAGACACGCACGATGGTCGTGCCAGGGTTAGAAGGCGACGTGGTGAAAGGAAGAGTCCACAGTTTTTTGTTGAAATACATGTTCATCACACTGTTGGAGTTATGGTTTGGGGTGCTATAGCTTATGGTTCCAGGTCACCTTTAATCTTCATCAGAGGTAACATGAACGCGCAGCGTTATATCCACGAAGTTCTAGAACCCCATCTTTTACCCTATCTTGACACCCTGGCAGATCCAACTTTTTAACAAGATAATGCCCGACCACATGTTGCAAGGGTCACAATAGACTTCTTTCAACATAATGATGTCACATTGTTACCATGGCCACCAAGATCTCCCGACTTATCCCCCAATTGAGCACGTGTGGGATATGATGGGTAGGAGATTGCTCAATTTGCAACGACCTCCTCAGACTCTAGAAGCACTTCGAGAGGAGTTGGTGGTTGCCTGGAATGAGATACCACAGGAGGACATTGACCACCTGATTAGAAGCATGCCTAGGCGCGTTGGAGAATGCGTAGCACATCAGGGTGCATCCACACATTATTAAAGGTCAAAGGGCTTTAAAGCAGTGCAATCATTTTGAAATTTTTATCATTTACTTATTATGCTTCATTAAGTACTTATACAAAATTTTATTACAATAAAACCATTTAAACTGGGTGTTCGGATTTATATGTCACTTAGTATATTAGTTTTATTTAAGCTTTAAATCAATAAATCTTCAAAACTACTGAACTGCTCATGTATTTTACATCATTGTAAAGGGAATTGAAAGACCTTTAAAATAAGGTATCACTCGACCTCCCTTTCCAATTAAGATTTTAGGGTTGGTGTCACCCCCGCCCAGGGGGCTGCACGTGTTAACGTGATTTTTTGCCAAACTTGTGTCCCCCTCGAAAACAAAATCGACGGGTCTGACCGTTTTTCCAAAAAAAAAACTGAGCTGCCAGTAAATGCGTCTGTTTCGTTTTCGATGCGCCACCCTGTATATACACAAGAGTATAAAGAAATCTTGAAAAAAATTGTTTTCTTCACAACAAAAGGTGACAAACACATCCGCTTTATTGTAAAATGTGTATAATGTATGTTTTTCGAATATCGTAGCGAATCTGTTCAGTTGCTCACAAATACGAAATGTTTGAATTTGTTTAGACGAAAAAAACGTAACCTTCGTTATTCGGAATGATTTGTGATTCATATCGACAAGGTAAACTCATGTACTTTGCTATAAAATACCCTTTGAACAAATCCTGTACATTGCTCAGTACACTAGTACCTAGTGATGACAGGAAGAAAGGTGTTTTGGGATAAACAATTAGGGATTCTCAAAAACTACTTGACCAATCGACTCCAATTTTGTTGTAGTTATTTAGGAGTATGAATCCTAAGAATTTCAAGTAGCTGCGTGAAATTATCGTCGCATCAGCAACAAGTGCCGAAATTTGCATTTTGCCTCGGTTTTTGGCCATAACCTTTTCACTATTACGGATCTTTTTACGTGTGGTCTCATTCTGTGTGTCTCATAAATACCTAAAAATCTTGTTTGAAGAATTTTTCCGTTCCTGGCAACAATTTCAATAATTGAATCCCAAAAAACACGTTTTCTCATTCTTTTTTGTGGAATACAAGGTTTTCCCGCATAAATTGGTGTACGCAGGCCAGGGATATTTTCGTCTAATTTGATTAGACTATGACAAAGAAATCCTCACTTTTAGTTAAAAATAACTGAAATTGTATATCATTAATTTGCAGATATAATCAGCAAGCTTCAGACAGTGCCAGCAAGGAGCCATTGCAAATGAATTTAGATGAAGCAAAATTAATACTGAATGTGAATAAATTGTGCCCTAAGGAAATCGAAGAGCGTTACCAGTATTTGTTCCATGTCAACAGTAAGGAGCAAGCAGGGTCTGTCTATTTGCAGTCTAAGGTGCTTAGAGCTAAGCAGCGGTTAGATGTTGAATTGAACAAGGATACTGCAATTGAAAGTGATTTGTCAATCAAACCAAAAAGTAAAAATTTGTCGTAAATACGTGATATAGTTATTTGACTTAGTTTTGGAATTTGCAGTTCATCTTTAATGATCATTTTGATTCGCGGAAACTTGTAACTAAGGTCTCGCAAGAATTTCAAAAAGTCGTCCACGTTTAATGTTTACTCAAAATATTTGTGAGATTGTTTTACATTGTACTGTTGTGCTATATTGAGTTCGATAAGGCAACCTACCTCTCTAACATGAATGCTTCAACCACGGCTGCGCTGCTTCTAGACAGAGACGTCCGTCTTTCTTTTTGCGCTCGTACCAATTCAGTTGCAGTTCTTGTCGAGTGCTTTAGAGTCAGATTATAGACCTTCCTTGAGGCGTGCGGAAGCAATGGGTATCTCTTATCTCCCTGGACACTGTCAAACAATGACACTCCCTTGTTCAAGGGAGGATTTAAATTCTCATTTCGTAGAAGGCTGTGGCAGTTCTCATCACAGTTACAATTATATCGATGTTAGAGATATTTTTCTTTGCTGGCCGTATCTGTTTAGCATTTTGATGATAAAATTGGGACGAATTGGTTTATTTGTCAATAAAAATGCAAAATAATAATGTTTTTGCCTCCGCATATTATAGCGCAATCAGGAGAAGTAAAAAACTGAAAATAGGCAACCGGTGCACCCAACTGCTCTACTGGTTGCAGTTTGTCGGCTACGTCTGTCAGATTCAGTAGTTTAAATCGTACTATATCGTATTTTCAAAAAAAATTGCAAATCAATTTAACTAATTTTATCCTGTGCTAGCTTTTTTAAAATCAAAAAAGCAGAGGACTATTCCGGATAAACTGCTGATCGAAATGCAATTTGACGGAAGCTGTCAAAGCGTTCCTAATATCGCTGGTTTCTATTGAAATATTGAATAAAATCGCGAAAAAGCGGTTGCTTTATATATCTTTCATAGAATTTCCAAATTCACAAAAGACGGTCTGTTATTTAAATGGACCAATGAAAATGTGAGAAATAATAGGTCGATTTTCTAGCTATTTTATTTAATAGGATGTTTTCACTGTTTTTGCCGACTGTTCATGCATGGCAATATAGTTTTTGTCTTTATATCACGTACAGGGTGTTGTACATAATACGTACCTGTAGAAATGAATCGATTTTTGATATTTTGCAAAAAAATGATATAAAATGTATTCCAACTGGTTCATTATCTTTTGTTACAACAAAAACAATTTTTCCCGTGAATGATCTAGAAATCCACACCAAATATAAACAAACAGCACATTCTGCATTTCTGGGTCCTAAGACATCGATATTTGTAAATGTATCCGCATCCACCTATTATTCATCGACTAGATATTATAAGTCAGAATCAAAAATACCTATTTAGAAAAATATATATCCTAACATTGTTATATTTTCTTGTTATTTCTATTATAATAACACGTCTGGAATATCAACTGCTTTTAAAGTGATCTGCACTGCACATCTGCAGTGTTGCCGAACCGCCAAAAGAACGGAATCGGTAAATTGTGTCGTTGAATTCAGTATAAGGAAAATGCCGTCCCAAGATCAGTGGTGGATCAAAGCCTTTTGAGTCATGAAAACCGTCTATTATTGTATTGAGCGCGCATACAACATGGGTTTTGATGGCATAGTTCGATAGTACAACCTGTACAGGGTGCGGCAGAGAGGACGGACGTTTTTGGGATGGGTAGTACTCTCCGCCTCCGTCTAAGAGAGAGGTGGGGAGGGTGCAGTTTGACTCGTGAGATCCTAGCATTATCTTACCAGTTGTCGTTATGGAGCCTTGTACGGTGGACCGCGTTTTCGCCTATGATTGTTTCGTCCGAAATAATGAGTCAGTCATCGTCGTACAGCGTGAGTTTCGTCGCCACTTCAACATTCATTGGAATAGAGCTGTTCCCTCTCGAAACACATCCTTCGTTGGGTTGAATCACTTCGCAGGCGTGGTGAACTGATCAACAGAAGACCAAGAGGAGCGAGCGCCGCGAACAGTTCGAACTCCTGAAAATGTTGAACGCGTTCGACAGGTCTTTCTTCGCAGTCCGACTCGATTTGTCCGGAAACATGCTGCTGCACTTCGCCTTAGTGATCGTTGTGCAACAGTTACAGCCAGATTATGCACAACGAATGAACTTCTCACGTGAGATGGAAGCACTGATCGATCAAAATGAGAACCTCATTGAGTGACGAAGCCCACTTTCACCTAAATAGCATGGTAAACCAGCAAAATTGACTTTATTGGGCGAATGAAAATCCGCAACAGTTACACGAAAGACCGCTGCACAGCAGAAAAGTAACGGTTTGGTTCGCTGTATCGCACTTGCATCATTGGCCCTTACTTCTTCGAAGACGGTACTGGTCGTGATGTTACCGTGAACTCAGACATGATCATCAACTTCTTTCTCCCTGAATTACGACGGCGACGTGTTCTAATCCGACGTGTGTGGTTCCAGCAGGATGGGCCGCCGACACAGCCCGAGCATCCATGGACCGCCACATAGCCCGAGCATCCATGGACGTTATTCGCCTTCTCTTCCCTGGTCGCCTTATTTCCAGGTTTGGCGATGATCATTGGCCTTCTAGGTCCCCAGATTTATCGATATGCGATTTTTTCTTATGGGGACACCTCAAGGCTAGAGTATACGTAAACAAGCCCCGAACTCTGGACGAATTGAAGGGCGAAATTCGCGTGGAAGTCGCCAAAGTTGAGAGAGCGATGTTGGAGAGAGTCTACGCGAACTTCCAGGAACGCTTCCAGCACTGCATCAACGATTTCGGCCACCACATGCCTGATGTGATTTTCCACACTTGACTGTCTCAAATGCTATTTCCTTGTGAACCTGATTCCATCAATAAATTTGTTTTCGAGTAAAAATTAACTATTTTATGATCTTTTTAAAACCGTCCATCCTCTCTGCCGCACCCTGTATAAACACATATCTAAGCAAAGGTAGAAATTTAATTGTAGAATATTTTATTTTACAATAAAGTTACATTTCCTTTACATCAAAAGTACAATTATTAAATTTGCATTACATGAATGACACGTTCCTTAAGCTATTCGGTACAACAGTCGAATTTTCTTGTGTTGCTCGCCAATCCGGTGTTATTTCAGCACTACCGTACATTCTAAACACTTTATTAGCTATTTCTCTCCTGTGTGCTACCGATTCATCAACATACTCTTCGGTGACCGTTGATGACTTCCAACCGCCATGCGTTCTTTAGTGTCATCAAGTCTCCCCCAGATTCAACTAAAAGTGTAGCAGACGATCTTCGAAATGAATCACGTGTATATGCGTTAGCATTTTCAAGTTGAAGAAAATTAGCCACTGTTTCGGGAACCTTATTAAACGCCCTGTAAGAAGGGTGTTGACACATTGTCACATTTGCGAGTTTGTTGGAAAGAGAAAGCTATTTTAATATTGAGGTTGATCCAGGAGAGTTCAAAGAGGAAGCAGTACCACTGATAATGGGGAAGGAGCTGAGCGGCGGCGAATCTCGTCCAAAAACTGAAAGCATGGGCCCATTGATGATGATTATAGACGACCAGGCGAGGCAAATCCGAGAACTCATGCAGACAATCAAGGACCAGACGGCTAGAATTGACAGTCTGACCGCCCAGTTACCTCTTTTAGTAAGTTCGAAAGAATCCCCCAAAGAATGGACCAACAGCTTAAAGAGGCCGCTACGGACCATTACAGATGATCAATATACATCCACATAAGATGACACACCACAGACCGACGAATTTATAAACGCAAAAAATAGAAGGAGGAGAAGCAACAAGACTGACCGACGAGCCGAGGACTTTCCACCTCTTCCAAATACCGAATCCACTCTTTTAAGCACCTCCCCCGCTTCATCAAAACAAAGTATCAGTAACACTATGTCTACTACGAAACCTCTGTCATTGATTGACGGAGAGACTTCACTATCTACCTCTAAGGTCACTCCGTCGACCAATGTCACTTCTCCTCAACCCTCTCGCTCAGCCGACGTGGCATCAAGCCAACCTTCACGCCAAGGTGCGTAACGCCTCTTGTTCTGCGTGATGGGGCGAGGTGGCTTACGTTACACTACAAATTCATTTCCCTAGGCATTAAAATAGATCGCGCGGTTGCTGTCGATGCGGGAATAAGGATTATTCGTAAATCTTAGGAAGACTATCGTAAGATCGTTCGACTATTCCGATAGGAAGAAGTGCCCCATCACACTTTTCTTCTCCCTTCGGAACGGAACATCCACGCGGTGTTTCGAGGAGTTCCCGTCACCTTTTTGGATTCTGAGATCAAGGAAGAACTTGAACAGAGGGGATACAGCCCTCTTCATATTATTCGATTGAGGTGCGGTGGCGGCGCGCCCATGCCTTTGGTGGTCCTGATACTGCCTAAGAGTGAAAAGTCCCAGCAAGTATTCAATGAACACGAACTACTGGGATTGGCCATTCGAGTTGAGGTTCAGAAGAACTTCAGACTCATTGGGCAGTGCCACCGCTGTCAAAAGTACGGGCATGCGCAGTCATACTGCACTGCACCACCCAAATGCCTAAAATGTGCAAAGGACCACATGACGCATTTGTGCCCCCTAACAGGACAGGAAGAGCGCCGGTGTGCAAACTGTGGAGAAGGCCATCCCGCAAACAGCCCGACTTGAAAGTTCACTCCAAGGAGGAATTTGCAAGTTATAGCGCAAAGGCGCAACCTGTCATACGCGGATGCAGCTAGGGAAGCAACCTTGTCTGTCCCCTCTGCCCAACCTCCATTGAACGAGCAAGATGTGGACCTAGCAACGACGCTAAGGTCCTTACAACAAATACAAGTCCATTGATTAGCGCTACTCAAGCTTTGCAGGCGAACTTTCCTGTAAATGGCTAGGTACAATAGTAGACAGCCTGTATTTCTCAAAGTTCTTTTTTGGAATTGTTTGGTCCTAAGCGACATTCCTAAAAAACGGGAACTTCATCAAGCTCTTTTGGATGACGGTATAGATGTAGCCTTGCTGCAGGAAGCGTTGCTTAA